ATATGCTCATAGCTTTAGGGGTCAAAATAACCTGAAAATGCATAATTTAGAAGAGGGTTCAATGATTCACTCCTACAGTTTGGAGTAAAAATAAATTCTAGCCTAAGATAATAAAATCTGATACAGAACATCTTTGGAAACATCCATATAGTAAATGTGGCATCCCAACAGAGGGGCGATATACAACTTTCTTCCTGTGGCTCTAAAGGGTCATTACTTTCGCGCGTGTGTGTGTGTGTGTGTGTGTGTGTGTGTGTTTTGAGGGGAACTTGATTTAAACTGATGATTCCTGGGCCCCTTTCTATATTGACTATATTGAATCAGAATTGGAAAAGACACAAGATGAAATGTTATTTTTTATATTTTTTTTCTTACAAGTGCTTTAGGTGATACTACTTGTGAAAGTAAAGTTTAAAAACCACTGTTCTAGCCCTGGCCAGGTGGCTCAGTTGGTTGGAGCATCATGCCATACACCAAAAGGTTGTGGGTTTATTTCCCTGCCAGGGTAGATACCTGGGTTGCATGTTTGATCCTTAGTTGAGGTGCACACTGGAGGCAACTGATGGATGTTTCTCTCTCTCTTCCCCTCTTTCTTTCTCTCCTTTTCTTTCTCTCTGAAATCAATAAAACATATCCTTGTGTGAGGATTAAAAAATGCCACTGTTCTAGAAGATGGAAGAGTTAGATGACTCAGGCTGTAGTGAAACATGTTGTGGAGGTGATAGTAAAAAAGTTAAGTAATGAACAGGATTCCAGAAATGTTGTAGCTTTGTGTAGATAAGTGAGGCCTGGGAGAATAGATTGAAGTATGTACACTAAACAGGTTGAGATGGGAGAAACTATAGAGAATAAAAATATTTAATTGTGGTTAATATTACTGAGGGAGAATTCCTATAGTTTTAAAAATAATTGTACTGATTCTGCTATAACAGTAGAGTTGTATATGCCTAATCATTAATTACCAAATCATTTTTGGTGATGTACCATGCACATGATTATAAAAAACATTATTGTTTTAGTATTCTCAGAATAAGCAAAGTTGGGAACATAAATGCCACTCCTTTTCCTTTTGTTGAGCTATTAAAAATATTAAAAAATCATTAGTTTTCATAGACATTCTATCTACCTTTTTGTCCTCTAATGGTATAGAACTTTAGGTGATAGCACCTAAATAAATTTTCTTCTATGTTTTTATTCTTATTCTCTATGCATAAATTTCATAAATGATTAACTTGTTTTATGTAGTATACATATTTTCCCATTGGTTCAGTTATTATATTCATATTTTATTCTGTTGTCTTTGAAGTATGTAGATACTAAGTGTGTCTCTAAGATTCTCATCTCTAAAGGGGCTATGTCTATGTGGTTCTTATCACATATAGATACATTCTTTTTAAAAATATATATATTTTTATTGATTTCAGAGAGGAAGGGAGAGGGAGAGAGAGATAGAGACAACAATGATGAGAAAGAATCATTGATCGGCTGCCTCCTGCACGTCTCCTATTGGGGATCGAGCCCCCAACCCAGGCATGTGCCCTTGACCAAAATGGAACCAAGACCCTTCAGTCCACAGGCTGACGTTCTACCCACTGAACCAAACCAGCCAGAGCTAGATGCATTCTTAATAAATGTGTTTGTGTGTTTTTTTCATGATGAGGATGGCTCTCTATATGACTGATTTAAAGGATATGGTAAGACCTTTATTGTAATATTATTACTTTTTAGCATGGTTATTTTTTATTCTGCAAAATCAGGATGCTGGGATGTGTTGAGATGATCCTATGGATTAATTATGTAAAGCACTCAGCCTGTAGGCGCCCAGTAACTATCGCTCCTTTCCTCCATTACCCAGGTAATAAACTGACTAAAAGAATTCTTGGCCTCCCACTACCTCTTGCTAAGTAAGAGTGAAGATTACTTTGACTTAATGTGGAAGACTTCAGTGCTTCTCCCTGTGGGTCCCTCCCTTGAGGCGTCCTACACAGGCCTGCATGGCACAACTTAGGCACTGAAACGTGACTAGCAGTTGTGAATGAAAGGTGACTAGGATTAGCGAATGAAACGTGAGTGAGGTGCTGAGTCACTTCCTAGCAAAGGGTTCTCAGCCAGTGCATGTTCTCTTCTCCCTCTGCCACAAGGATGGGCACTGCTTCCCATAAAGGCTGCTGCATCCGCCTGAGTCCAGGGAGAATGCTCTCTGAGCTTGGAGCTGAGGCGTAGCAGACCCACAATGAGCACAAGTCATGAATAAGAAATCAATATTTTTTGCTGGAAACCCCAGAGATTTTGTGTTCATTTTATGTCTCATAAATAAACCCCAAAAGGGATTTGTGAGGAATAAAAGCAAGGAACACTTGATCAGAGCCTATTTGAAGTGCCACTTTCTGTATTAAGCCTTCCTCACCCATGGAAAGAGGTCATAGGAGTCCCCATTGCCTCTCAATTCTTGTCTGGCCTCCTAACTTGGCATAGTGTCATAACCAGCTCTAAGATATCATAAATTGTTTGAGGGAACGTGTGCTCCTTTATAATTTCTGTGGAAATGGTATGCGCCAGTTTCTTCAAACATAACTGTGGATGTTGTATTTTACGTTTGTAGATGTATTTTATGTTTGAAAGTAAAGCAAGTTTGGGTGGGTCATTTTGCCATTGGCGCATGGATACAGCTGGATGTCAATATGAAGAGGAAGTGAAAAGTTACTCGTAAATTCGAGGCCTAAAAGTTTGGGGGAAGGCTGCTGTTTCCAGAGTCCAGGAGAAGAAGTCTTTCTGCTTGCATATGGTTTTATTAACAATCCCAGGTCCAGATGCTCATTTTTATTTTATTTTATTATCTTTATTGTTGAAAGTGTTACAGATATCCCTTCTATATTTTCCCATTGACCCCTTCCACTCCTCATTCGTTCCCTGAGGCCTTCACCACAGTATTGTCTGTGTCCAGATGTTCTTTTAAGGAAGAAAGTATTTTTATAATTTTAACGCTTTCTGAATTGTTCCCTCAATGAATCATAGCATTTAACCTAAGCCATTTGTGCTATGGCAATATAACTTTTCTGGAAATTTCAAGAAAATGTAAATGGATTCTGAGCCTACAAATTTGCAAAAAGTATGCCCATTCTGTAGTATCAATTGGATTCATAGAAGGCCATTAAGACATATTTATTAGCTTGTTAAACTGAGCTGCTTTTATTTCTAGAACAAGTGTCATAAAAATATTAAAAATTTTACAGAATTCCATGAACTATTCAGCACAAGGGATTAGAGACTTTTTACATTTCTTTTCCTAAAGCAAGAGTTTCCTCTAGGCACCAATACATCTAAATATATAAAGAGCTAGGGTCCGTAAGGACCGAACGGACTGAACACCAGAAGTCAGTCCTGCAGTCAGTGCTGGGTCGCTGAGGCAACCCAGCACTGACTGCTGCACTGCAGGTGGTGCAGCGACCCAGGACTGACTGCCAAGCACCTGCCAAGGGGCAATCAGGCAGGCAGGAAGAGGCAGTTAGGGGCAATAAAGCAGTTAGGGGTGACCCAGCACTGATTGCCGCCCTGCAGGCACGGCGACCCAGCATTGACTGCCATGGGGGCTGCAGATCAGGCCAGGAGAGAGGAGCAGGGTCTGATCTGCAGCCTCCGTGGCAGCTGTTGATCAGCCTTTGCCTCTCTTTCTCTCTGGGCCTCACCAGCCGCCGAGCCTCTCCCTCTCTCTGAGAGCCCAGCAGTTCAGCCCACTCTCCAGCAGCCTGCCTCTCTGATCAGGCCCCGAGATAGGCACAGAGATGCTGACTGGCATAGAAACCAACCAATCAGAACCAAATCTGGGTGAACTGCGAGGAGCCAATGGTTGCCTAGGAGGTAGAGTTTTTGATGCTGACTGGCATAGAAACTGACCCATCAGAACCTAATCTAGGTGAACTGCAAAGGCAGAACCTAAGGTGGGGGCTGAGGAGGGGTTTTAAGGGCAACAGCTGTTTGATGTAAGGTGTAAGAAAGCGGTGCAATTTTTTAATGACCGGTTTGGCAGTATTGTGCATATGGCTGGCTATCAGTCCAGATATAGGGATTATGTATTTTTGTCTGCCAAGAGCATCTCCTCCTGCTGAAAAAGGCTC